GATGAAAGATATTTAAAAGATTTTGATTTGAAAATATTCTGAGATATTTATATAAATTACAGTGTTTTTAGGATCTACCAATATTTATATTTATCAAATAAACAATTATTACTCAGTTATTTGGGATTATTTTACGTAAGAAATTGTCAATTGTTTTTATAATTTTGAATTTCGCGTAATATTTTAGTATTCAAAAGACATATTCCGTGTTCATTGTATTCGAGATAATTTTTCATAAGAAAAAGGAAAAATTGCGATTCTTTTTATATAATTTCTAATAAAAATAGGCGTAATTTCTGCGAATCACTTCTTGTAACAAAGACGATGATAAATGGAAACTTCGATTTTTTTGTCGATTGACGTGAACAGTGTAATTATTGTATATATTTAGCTTGATTTTTCTATTTCAATTTTTCCTTCATGTGAATTTTTCCTCATTCGTTTGAAGTCCAAATAAGACGTGTGTATAAATTATAATAAATACTTTCAAGATTTTTCAGTTTGTAATAATCTGCATTTATTATTAGTAACGCAAAAATCATTATTTCGAGCTCGTGGTATCCGGGACTTTATTATTTTTTTTTATCAAAGAATTCTTTGAATTAGTGTATTTACACAGTACAATAAATTGAAGTGAAACAAACCATATTTGTCTTACTTTAACTTACTACACCAATATGCGCATCAGTTTAAAAGGTTTATCGATAAAAAGCAGACATGCATATCAATTTTAATACCTACTTCAGGCTTTTCCGATTTTTTGTCACACAATTTTTATCACTCTTGAATAAACAGATCTTACTTAGAATTGTGCGAGAAATTGTGGATTCTTTTTTATAATTTCAAATTCTACGAAATTTCAGAATAGAAAAACGTCTTCGTTTTATTCATTCAAAAATCACGATTTGTTCTTATTTCCAAATCATACAATCAATCATAAGTACTTAGCATCTGTAGAATCGCGATTGTTACAGCAAGGATTAATAGCAATTATAATTTAACAGATGTTACACAAACAGCGAGCGCTTTCAAAACTATAGGCAAGTGGAGGCTTATACAAATTCAATTAGACGCACTTGTACACTTGAAGCCGTGTAGAGTTGCACACTGCAATTTAATTCGAATATAAAGTGAAATGCCCGATATTCAGAATTACAAAATACACATTTTATCTAACACACCAAGTCACGAGAAAGTCAAAATAACGATTTTTATAAAATTTGATTATTTTTATTTATTTTAAGCATCTGTGTGAGTGCTGGGGGGGGGGGAAGGGGGGGGGGGTATAAATTTAGGATTTCACGTTTTAAATAACTTCTATATTTTATACATATTTCTACAACACGTATATCTTTAGTTTGTATAACGACTTTAATATGCACTCACTGAATGTGTTCAATCGAATTCGCTACACTTTAACATTCAGAGGAAAAGATCGCGCCATTAAAAAAATCTCAGATAACGACTCGAGTAAAACGACAAGTCATGCACGATATCAAAATAATGCTGAAATGACACCAAAATGATCATTAAATTCATTTTTCAATCATTTCTTGCTCTCATTTAACGTTATCTTGAATTGTTTCGCTTAGGGATGCGTTTATCGAACGGCAAATTGGACAATAATAAGGTAATCACGAAAAATCTGGGTACCTATTATGGAACAAAGTTGGAATGGATTCCGATCGGAATTGTTCAATTATTCCCTAGATTTCTATTGTGTTTTTTAGGGAAAACGTTTTAGGGTACCCTGGCTAGAAACCGTGACCTTCGATTATAAGGTACGCCGTTCTTATCGTATCGTCGTATTGAAAAAAATACACCTGTGCGATACAGATGTTTCCGTAAAGCGAATCCATTAAAATGCACGATGTGCACAATGTGTCATTTATTCTTGTTTAACATTCGACAAAGATAATGCATCGTGTGTTTTACGGAATGTCAGAGCTGTACGAATCGATATATCGAATCACCGGATTACAAAACACGATTTGATTGTATTAATTGGAATTCTAATTGAAAATGAACAAATCAGAATTTTCTGATCAATAATCTGATATCATTCTAGCTGAGATAACCAAAATTCAGATTGATAGATCAGAATCTTTCGGTTGATCGTTCATCTTTCCACCGGAAATTGTTATCATTCTATCCATTTTCTACCAAAGTAGATCAATTTTAATCTCAATTGATTGTTCATCTTTTTTTAATTCTTAGAATTAGAAAAAAAAACGTAAAATTCTAGTTGAACCTGGATAAAATTAAACTACATTGGTAGGAACGAAGAAGCATCGGGTGAAAAAAAAACGATAATTCTTCGACTTTTCGAAAAAGATACGGCTTTGGAGAAGCGTCCATTAATGGTTTCTCGTATAGGATCGACGGCCGGATGAGGTTCAATCACATTATGTAACTTTTTTCCTAAAATAGAAACGTGAAGACTGAAGAAAAGTCAAAAAGTTTTGCACGTACGTGCGCGTATACGTACGTGTATATATACTTTTAACAATTTTCACTTTTCACGTTTCTGTGGTAGAGAAAAGATTACACGAATATGACACTCCTCTGAGATTCTTAACATATACGTCGTCAACATTCCTCGTCGCGTTAACGTGCCTCGTACTCGCCTGGTGACGGAAAAAAAATCGATTTTTGTTAAACTCGCGGAACAGCGAGGCGGGCGGAGATTGACGTGCGCGCGACATGCCGCCTGTTCGGCGGCGACAGAGGTGCGGTAAAAGACGCGAAAGAGGAGAGAGTGCTGTCGTAAAGAGCGCGCGGCGCCTCTCTGTACCTGGCGTGGCGGCGCCGTCTTCCAGGATGAACGCGAGCCAGATCTTGGAGGTCTGCCAGAGCAGCAGGCCGAGGAGCAGAACGAACACGAGGCGCCATCGGAAGCCTAACCCCATCGTCCCGGCTGTTGTCGCAGCAAGAGACGCGCGCGACTCTCCGCGCGGCGGCGGCGACGACGACGACGGCGGCGACGCCGCGACGACGATCTCGTTAGCGCGGGCTGACGCAACGTTTTCCAGTATCAGACGAAAACGCGCCGGCGGCGGCGAGGGCCGACATAGTTAAGAACGCACGCGGCGGGGCCGTTCTTTCCGCTCGATTGTATTCGAATCTCGCAAGCACTCGCTTTTGCGTCAATTTGGCAAACGCCACGCGTGCCAACGGGATTTAACGACCGCCACCGTGTCGAATCGAATGTTCTTTCCTTCTTTTTCCGTTATTTCTCGCAGCATCATCTCGCACGCAGCGTCCGCAGTGATGCGAGCACTCGAGAGCAAACGTCAACTTTACGGATTAAATTAAAGCCCCTCTATTGGCTGCCATTCCTCCAGGGATGGAGTTTGGAGTATTCGAAGATTTTCGAGTAATCGGAGCGCGCACTGCGCATGAGAATTGAAACGAGTCGGAAAGTAGATCTTCACCAATCAGATATAACTTCAATCTCGGTCCGCAATTTGTATCGATTGAGCAGACTTTTAATTTCGTGGCTCTCGCAAATTCCTCGAGATCTTCAGAAATATTCTCAAGTTTTATTCTTTCTTAATTTTTTTGATTTATTTTGTTTTCTGTGAATGTTGTTCTATTTATATGTAAATTTATTAGACTATTAATGAGAATTGCCAATAAAAATTTTGTTCTAGAAATTTTGTGTTATTATATATATACATTTAACTCATAACAAAATTATTTTTCTTCCTTCTGTCCTCCAATCATCTTTTTAAAAAAGCATATACACATGTCTTATTGTCTTTTCTTGTAATTTAGATATGGTAAAATTTTACTTGCATATTTATACCATAGATATGTGAATTATCAAACACTTATATTCGTTTCCACCAATGTATTTATTTTGACACCAGATAAAACTATACCATTAATATACATTTTCAGCAAAATAAATGAAATATAATTTTGGTTCAACTTACTCTCCACCTTTTTTTTAATTATTAGACAAGAAAAAGATGAAGAGTAAGTTGAATAAAAGTATGCTTTCCTTTTAGATGACATTCAACGAATGATAAAGGTAGAATGATGTTTGTGTCGAGTGTGTCCTCTAAAAGGAAAGCATACAAAAGTTAAAATGAAAAACTAGAGATGATCCATTAATTATCGCTCAATTGATGAATTTTCCATTGAAAATCCTATTCAAAACGTTACATTTATAGCACATTTGTATAGTAGATCTGTTAAAGTATTTATTCATAAGAATAGGCAAGGTTTTAGGCGAGAAATCCCATAAATTTAATTTTTTGGTAATAATTTTATTAATCTTATTAATAATTTGATTAATAAAATCAATGTACATAGTAATTTATGATTAATAAAAATTTTAATAGCAATAGTTATAGATAGGCAAATTTTTTTTGTACTGTCACAATTTTCTCAATTTTAAAACGTAAATTGTAAAAAAGGAAAGAAAAGTACAGTATAATGCATAAGTAAAATAAGTTCAATATAATAAGTAAGTCTTTTAGTGAAATAACAAATATTATACATAAATACATAATTACTTCTAAGCAAATTATGTATATACATAAATGCACTTAGTTTGTAAGAATGTTATAAATAGTGACTCTAATTTTCTTTGTTACAACTTTTTTTTTGTTCTATTATATAAATATATTAATAAAACAAGTAGAATACAAAGATCTTTGTGTCATATATGTACAAAATCCATTGATGCATTTTTATAATATATTTGCGCCAAAATTAGAAATGTTTTTACGTGAATTTTAAAATTGTGTAAATCTTTATATATAGTTTAAGGTAAAAATTTTATTTTTGCATTTAATTTTTTAAGGTAGTTTTTCTTATTATATATTTACATGTTAAAGTTTTCCTCATGAGATCAACATGATGATTATATATAAATAGTATGAAAGCTTTCAATGAGTACTTGTGTATATATTGTAATCTTCTTAATGTTTGTGTTTCTTACCATATATTAATGTAAAAGATTATAATTACTTAAATTTTAATGTTGTCTAGACATATTACAAAAATCTGATAAAAATATAATATATAATATAAATATATATTGCTTCAGAGACGGTCAACAGTTGTCACCGGCGTCTCAAACCTAAAACATATTTAGGTGAAATGTAACAAAATTGATAATTTTGCAATTATATAATTGCAACTATTGTGAAAAACTTTGAAATATAATGATTATTTAATACTGAATCATAATTGTGAAAGTTAATAATAGTACAATTTTTATTAGCTTCTTTATAATGTTATCATAATTCTTAAATAAGTTTCAATAAAAAAGCTTAATTATAAATTAAAAAGATAATTTATGATATTAATTATTTTTAGTGACGATTAATAATTAATTGGGTTTTTTATTATTAATCAATAAGGCATTTTTTAATTTCAATAAAGTAACTTTATTATTCAATTTCTAAAAATAAATCGTTAAATTAACTATAGATTATTAATTGGCACAGATTTACTTGTACGATCTTGTTATTGCTGTCCAAGAGAACAACTATATAAGAGACGACCACTCGTCATAATTTTTACTTCATCGAGAAGATTATTTTGCTTGAATTTATTTTCATATGTCTTCTAACTCTGCGAGAAATGATCTGCACTTATTTTGGAGCACTTTAACGGCTTCTATGAATAGTACGGCTGGTGATAATGTTCCCACAGACTCTATGGTGACTATAAATTAAGAACACACACACCGCATAAACATAAATATATACATATTTGTATTATATATGAACTTTCTAGATGTCATAAGTAGTAGTTTCAACAAGAGAAAAAAGTAACTCGTAACACAACGGCTATATAAATTTTAATTAATTCTTTCCTAATAATTCTAGATTATTCGTACTTACAGATAAAATGATCCTTTACTCGACTCATTTCCACGCAATTCTTTAATTGATCGTAACGGTAGACGTTTCTAGAACAACTGTCATAGCGAGCATTTTTAACACGCGCTTCCCGATATTTCTGACCCGAACTTGTCTCTTGTTCTACTACTTCTATCACGCCAGGACTGAAACAGCTCTTTAGAAGATCCGCATCTTCATCTCTCACGGATTTGTTTAGCTGAATGACCGGCAAGAGGCGATATGATGCAGTAGCTAAACATATTATACAATATAGACATAAATAATTTATTTTAAACTTAAAAATAAAAAAATTTATAACATTTATATTAGAATACGAGAAATAAAAAAATGTTTTATTCCGAAAAATCTTACATACCTACTGGAGAAAATTTGGCGTGATCTTTGCCGATGCCTTTAACTGCATGCATAAATAAATGAATCTCATGACCAGGACGCATTTTACATATTAGTATGTCGTTTTCTAAAACACCAATTTGTTCTGCTTTAAACTTCTCTGCTTGCCGGCCTATTGGTACCCATTTAATATCCTTACTATAAACTGTAAAAAAAATGCTATGTTATGAATTTTATTTATTATGTTCAAAAACTAAATAGCATAATTATGTTAGCCCAATATTAGGTCTTCTTAGTCGATACACTAAAGTACACTAAATCTTCTTGCTTTTGTCACCTCAAATATATATTTGATTCAATTTAAGCATGACATAAGAATAATGATGTAATAATATTAATTTTTTATTATTGTTAAAATCTCGTACGTTATAATTTTAAATATAAGTATACATTAGTTTAACTACAAAGAATAGACTTAATTTGTAAAAATCAAATTGTCTTTAGAATGTTAAACAGTTTAACGACAAAATAGTTTCTTATTATATAAAAAACTTAGATTCAGTTCCTAGTCGTCCTAATCTGATATTTCACACAAATTTAAGTGAAAAAATATAATGTTAATGATTAAAATAACACATGGTTTTGTATAAGAGTGATCAATTCGTGATTATAGGTTTCAAATTTGATCTCAATCTCATTCCACGCATATTTTGGTTTTATAAGAGATTAGAAAATAAAAAGTTATGAGTAAAAAAAATATGAGATAAGAGTGACACAATCCAATTTAGAAATCCGTACATTTTATATATTTTATTGTGATTAAGAAATGAAATAAACATTGTTTAAAAACCGATTGTTGTAAAAAAATTGTTGTAATCAAACTAGTAATTGAAAACTTAATAATAAGCAATTCAGTGAAGTACCTTTGCTATTTTTATACATATCCTCTGGAAGACGAGAATTCTTAGGCGCTTGCGGGTTCGTACTGCACATAACTTTTAACTCATATCTTAAAGTATCATTATCACTAACTGTATCATCATCTTTTTTGTCATTTGGGGGATATTCAAATAATCTAGGATCTGCACGAAGAGGTATAAGTCCCAATCTTAAAAGAAAATAATATATTAATTTTTTATGTACAATTTTCAGAGACAAAAATAGAAAAACCTTGTTAATGTTCATTTCTCTCACCTATGTGCAAGTATTTCGTCCTGGATCAAGCTAGTATTATTTATGATATAAACCTTCTCAATAGCCATACTCGGTACTTCACTCAGTAATATCCTGCGAAATGCATTAGCTAGTGAAGTATGACAGCCAATAATATCAAATTCTATTTCTCGGTCTTGTTCTTGAATTATATTTATTTTCAGGTTCTACAATAAAAAAAAAATTTTTATTTATACACATACACACAATATATATATATATATATTGTATGTAAAAAGAGATCAATTATTTTTGCATGAAATCTATTAGAAAAATAATGGATTTCTTTCTACTACATCTAATATTAATATATAATATTATCTATATATTGTTCTTTTTATTCCAATCTGTTATACCTTTACAAATTTCTTCAATGCTGTTGACTTGGTTGTCGTATTATATGTATATTCCTCAAACTATTGAAACAAATCCATATTATATATACATTATAAAGAATATACATTATTTAGTGAATCTTAACAAACTTACATTTTCGTATTCTTTCATAACCCAACGCGGTTCCCGCTTTCGCTCCATATTGTCTAATATTAATTATACTTCAACAACTGAGATATTATTAATTTTCTTCTTCTTAATAAGAAATGGGTTATCTACTTGTTTTTGTAAATATATTTCGTTACTCGCACACACAATTGCTATTTTTTTTTTAGTAATTCTTACTTTTGAAATGCTTCAGCAGCGTGCTGTAAACAGATTTTTTATTGAAAGTTCTTGAACAAAATATTTCTAGAGAATCTAATAACAATTGACAATCCTTAACAAAAATTAAAAATGTTTAATTAACAAAATTCAAAAGTTTTTAGGGTGTAGGAAAAGTTTTCGCGCATTTTTGATAACTGTTTTAATTAAAATAAAATGAATGATACAAAATATGTGCCATCTTTATCACTTAGGTCGAAATTGCCGCTTCTAAATTTTGAAACCATTCTTGGCACGTACGAATTAATACAATATTATTACCATACGCCTCACAAATAAATCTGCGTTTCAAAAACGTTTTTTTTTTTAAATTATAATAAAACAAAATGCAATGGCGAATATGAGAACTTTCCCCCTACACCCTATATTACACACAGACTTACAAGGGGAGGGCACATCCAGCATATCGCCAATTGAGATGAAAAAAATTCAGGTGATTCTTTGAACAAAAAAAACGAATGCGTGTTTTGGGATTTTTCGAGATAGGGCCCTGATCGGTAAAAAAAAAAAATTTAACTAACAAGGGGAGGGCACATCCAGCATATCGCCAATTGAGATGAAAAAAATTCAGGTGATTCTTTGAACAAAAAAAACGAATGCGTGTTTTGGGATTTTTCGAGATAGGGCCCTGATCGGTAAAAAAAAAAAATTTAATGTAAGTAAAAATACGACATTCATAATTAATTTAATTACAAAAATTATTTCTTATTTTTCATTATGTACATTAGATTTTGACCGTTATATTATATAATATAATATAATATTATTTTATAGAGAATTTCTACCAGGGTAACAGTAAATTAATTTAAATTTAAATTTATCGAGGTTAATTTAATGTTATCAACATACACATGAAATTACAATATGAAATGGTTAAAGTAACCAATATTAAAAATAAATGGAACATTATTAATAGTTGAAGAAATTATTGATTGAAGTAGACAATCTAGATTTTTAAAGATAGAATTGGTACATAATGAAAAATAAGAAATAATTTTTGTAATTAAATTAATTATGAATGTCGTATTTTTACTTACATTAAATTTTTTTTTTTTACCGATCAGGGCCCTATCTCGAAAAATCCCAAAACACGCATTCGTTTTTTTTGTTCAAAGAATCACCTGAATTTTTTTCATCTCAATTGGCGATATGCTGGATGTGCCCTCCCCTTGTTAGTCAATAATTAAGTCGTCGAGTAAAATATTTATATATTATTTATTATAATTTTTGTTTGAGACATAAGAAAATTAAATTAGGGACGACGATTTATAACCGGAAATTTTATTGCAAATAAATGTAAGATTTACCGGCTGAGTTAATCGAAATTTAGTCGAAAATCACTCTTAAGCTCCGAGGGAATAATACAGGAATTCTTATGGCACCTTTATCATGTATAAAGCCCAATAAACTCCAAAATCTATGAAGTTATCCCACGAAAGAGGAAAACATAACCGTCGATTTATTTTAACTCAACTCCATCTCAAATCTCTACTTTGATATTTCATTTTCTATTTTCTCAAATGACGAGACAATACACTGCGGAAATAAATACTACGTCTCTCTCTCTTACCTGAATGATATTTCAAATATTCTCAAACTAGAATAAAAGAATAACCACGTGCACTATCCGAACGCCGTCTCTTTATTTACGCCAATGCGCCAATGGACTGACCAAACAATAAACAACTACAAGTTCAGACTTCAGAAGTTCAGACACTTCAGAGGAGCAGTGCTTTTTCTAGAGCAGCAGCAGAGTTGCTAGCATGCTCTTTTTTGCGCATGCGTGATATTTCAGTGACAAATTCAGCAGTATGCATTTTCATAATTTTATTATGCTTATTTTTTATCTGCACTTTATATTTTCAAAAGAACCTTATTTCATTCTTCGCTATAAAATGTCAATTCTATATAATATAATTTCATAATATCAATAAATAATTTAAATATTAACGCACCGCATGGACACGGAATCTTTCTAGTGTTGTCCTATTGGTTAAATTTTAAGGCTGAAGAGAGAGAGAGAGAGAGAGAGAGAATATAAGTGCAAGTGCAAAGGATAAATGAAAAAGTACAAATAAAAATTGACAGAACTGTTGTTAAGACTTGTAAGTTGTCAGTTGTCCAAGAAATGTAAAGGAGGACATAATAACGTGTAATTTGAGTGTATCGAGAGATTCGCGATTATGGCCGATTTGGACGAATATAAAGAGAGTGTACGACAACTCAGACAATACGCGGCTATTCACAATATATCGGAGGCGCAAACGTCGAAGATATTTCAAGCTTGTTTCCGACAATTGGAAGCCAAGTACTCGAAAAAATCGAAGCGACGATCGAAGTCTCTGCGAATTATTTTATCACTCGTTTTTATCTCCATCATATTGCTATGTTTATGCCAAAGCTGGTTAAGCGTTATATTTATAAAAATCTCGCAAAACTCCATTTATCCCGTTTTATATATGTTGCGTAAAGCAGCTGTACCGATTGTCAGTCTATATCCATCGTTATCTGGTTTGTAATTCTCGAATTAATATATTAAACATTTTATTAAATTTAATAATATTATAAAGTTATGATATATAAGAAGTATCTTAATGTTTACATATTTAATTAATAATATATTTATTACTTCAGAATTATACGACGAATGGTGCTTGATAGAGAATCCATACTTCTACATCAACGATATGGACTGCTGGCCTTGCAGTATGGTCCATTCGGTATTGGATTTAACTGGTCATAATATCAGCAGATCCTTTAATGTTGGTATACCATATACTAGAGCAGAAAATAACACAACTGTCAAGATGAAAGATCTAGTTAATTTATATCAGAGCAATCAAGATGTTTTTGATGAAGATGCTAAAAGAATTTTTTCTAACAACGAAACTTTTAAGTAAGTTTTCATACTGTTAGACATTTATGAATTTAAGTACATGTAAACAAAAGTTTGTAGTTATGAGGTAACTGAAAAGTAATAATAAATAGTTTAACTTAAAACTAAATTACAGTAGTCTTAAATATAATGAATGTATATACATTAAATTTCATGCAAATTTACATAAAATTTTATGGAAAGTACATTAATTTGCATGTACACACAAATATACTTTCCAATTACAAATACATTAAATTTAATGTAATATGTTATGTGACATTATAAATTTAATATGTATAACTTAAAAGTATATTTCATAGATTTCATGATATATTTTCTAAATTCTTTGGAATGAAATCTCACTCTAAAAATTGAAAGAGAAATTTTCAATTTAAAACAATGAGATTTTATTCCAAAAAATTTAGAGGATATGTTAATTCAAATTTTACAGAATTTTGAATCGTATAACATGTGTGATCAAAATTATGTGTTTTGCACAGAACTATCCGTGATGTTATGGATAATAGATTGGATATCTTCCACACTGCTTCTCTTGCTACTCACATATCTTGGAGAATAAATCGTATGAAGCCCAATAGAATACTACGAAAGTTATTTCCAAAGCCAGCGGAGACTCCTAATTGGTGGAGTCAAGGCACAGAGAAATTCATTTTTATCGACGAATCAAAATCACCGCCTTATTCATTGGTAGGTAAAATCATATGGTAAAACATTCCAATTATTATGTCTTAGTTATAATGGCCAATTCATAAATTTTTAGCCCAATCCTGAGTGTAGCAATATTGTGATACGATGTGTAGCCGGTGCAAGACTGATAAAAATGACACCGAGCTCGGAATGCGTTCAACATTGTAGATCCTCGACTATTTTATTGTCCGCTGGACATACATGTGAGTATTAGAGACCATAGATAATCTGCGCTTTTTTATTTCTATTTATTTACATCGTACATTTTATTTTTTTCTTTTATGTTCTTAAGTATGGTACAATTGGTGGTATTGGAGACCCGTGAGTCTACCAGTGTACAATGCTACTGCTCTTTCTATTGGTTATTTAACTTCGTTTTGTTAATATCCGATAGAAGAAAAATGCTGTAGATACGTGCCAAAATAATGTAGCTAATAATGACGAAGCCATATTTATAATAAAATTTATATGTTAAATTTATCTGCATTTTTTTCTTTGCATTACATTAATCTCGAATATCGATTCGCGCATATAAGATCATTTGCAGATTTAAATTTTCCGAGTGGAGTATTATTTCTGACAATACAATAACGTATGAAATAAAATATAAAATTCAGCATTCTACCAACACAGAATTTCCTGAGATCATTTCCTGGTATAATATCGTCTAAGATACAGGCATATTTGTGACACTCATAAAAAAAAGTTTGTTTCCACTTTCGCCTATATTTAGTTTACATGTTTAAATGTCTCCATACATAATCTAAAACACACTTGTAGAAATAAATTACAAACGACAATAAATAAGTTATGCGAAAATTATGCTCGCGAGAATTTGTCGTACTATTTCGTATGTATAATACATGTGTCCACAAATGCAAATAACTACACACGGTGCGAAAAAGCGGACCCTAATCCCAATTCGCATTTGATATCATTTTTTTTCCTAAGAAATTATTAGAAACTGCTCCATGATCGGAAGGCTTTCCTCGTGTAATATCGGATACCTTGATGATATCATCAATGGAGCGTTCTGGTGTTTATTCGAACTTCTGCTTGAGCTTCTGCTTATACAACACAGGTAGTAGGGAGAGCGATGCAAACATACACAGTATAATTATACTGTTCCACGACCACGCATCGCTCGACGAAGTGAGATTGTGCAACGTTTGACCCGCCTGTATGGCGACGAAGGAAGGCGGCGCGACGCCGAAGAAGGTGCCAACAGTGAATGGCATCATCGGCACGCCGATCACCGGGCTGGCTAAATTGATGAACCAGTTTGGCAGTAACGGCGTCATCCGGAGGAACAACATATAGTTTAATAGATTATCGCGATGTTTGGTCACAGTAATGGTCCACTCGTTTGCCTTTTCTGGAAAGTATCGATACAGCAACCGCCTGCCCAGCAATGAGGACAGCAGGTAGCACAAAGATGCGCCGATCGCACTACATGTACATACGAGTAGCAGCGCGACCGGGAAACGGAACAGAAATCCGGAAAGGATTGAGAGAAAAATAGAACCAGGAATGGCAAATGTTTGCAGGCTATTGAGATGTGACGTAAGGAAAATACATTGTGTATTTTGATAAAATTTTTTTCAGAGAATGTTCTAATACATAAATTGAAGTGAAACAAATATAAGGTACGGGGTTAAAATTTCACTACAAATACTGTAAAGCATTGACTAATTAAACAAATGAAAAAAATTTACTAAATGTATCTCATCAAAGAATATTTTAAAGCATTTGCGGCATAACATTGATCGTACCTAGCTTGTTTAACTCCAACTTATTACTCCAATATATACCAATTAAGAATATTTTTTGAAAAATGACAAATTCAAAACAAAAATATGCGACTAAAATATTCAAGGATACAAGATGTAAGTGGTAAATAGTCCAGCTAATACTTGGAAGTAATATAAATCCTTATATCGTTCTAACAATTTTCCTAAATTCTTGGCATCTTCTATGTGAAGCGGAAGCTTCATATGCTGTCTTTCATCTCTATGAAAAGAATGCACAAAGAATTCATTATTGTATCCAATATAATGGAGAAAGGATGAACACAAAGATAATGATAAATGGCGATTCTTACTCTTCTAATTCTGGAAAACTCGTGTACACGTAAAATAATGCAGTCAACGAGGCCACAAAAATGAGCCCAACAGTTATTACTGCTCTTCTTGTTGAAGCTTCACCATTGGCTGCTTTGGGCATTCCTACAAAGTAAATAAGAATTTATATATTTATATCTCAAATATATTTCATAACAAATTTAATTTTCTAACCTATTGCAACTTTCATGACTAAACATAAAAAATAAAACAGAATATATTTTAGCTGCGTTTAATTTCGCATATCAGAGGCATCCATAATCATTCTATCGTTGAATTAGGAGCCTCTGATTTGCAAAACAGAACGCTGTTATTACACTTACTGTTAACTTTAAAACAAAAGAAGTACTAAAATATGTTGAATTAAATTAGAGGATAAATCGAAAAAATATAAAACCTATAACAAATATATATATATAAATACAATAAGTCACATAAATACAGAGGGCCACGTGAATTCACTAATTTTGTTTACTCGACTATCATCGAACTACTTACGCGCTTTTACACGTGTCACTTTGAGATTGCGTCGCGCCATTTCTGATATGCGTGCACATTTGCTGACCGACACCTAAACACGCCACTTCCCGGCGCATTTCCCCCGCAAAAAGCAATCGTACGATTGCGATGTCTCACCTGATCTCACGTCAGCCTGCGAGCTCATCGTTCGCCTCTCTCTCTCCGGATATCACTTTCGCGAGCTCAGTTTCTATAATCCGCGGATTTTCTCGTCCAGTCTCGTCTCAGTGCATATCGTGCGAATGCAACTGACGTATAGCGTCAGAACGGCTGCACCGTGACGAGAAGGACCTTCGAAACACACAACGCTAATAACAGCTTCCTTCTGTCAGCTGATAGCCTCGTGTTGTTTCGGCATTGGGTGATTGGACACGTGATTTGTCCATAGACTGCGCGTTTCCGTTATAAGCATAAAGGTAGTCA